AGTGATTGGGCCATCCTTCGACAGGACGTTTATTGAACACTTACTGCATTTTGCACAGTAGCGGGTTTACAAGCATGAATATGACCGGGTTCCTGCCTGAGGTTTTGCCTAGAAAGCCTGGGATGACTTCAGAACACCCTCCTCACCTGTCCACCCCGCCGAACTCCCCACCTGCTGGTGATGCTTGTGGCTGTTTTAAGAGGGGTGAAAATATTTAATTTCTCAGTTACAAAGCAGTTGATTTCACAGTTAAAGTGGCAGTGCCTGGTTTACGGGTCCCCTGTGAATGAGTTTGTCGAGGGGTTTAGGTTTGTTGGGCAGCCCATGTAAATGACTCCTGTCAGATCTTTCCCTCTAATAGGCGAGGAGCGTGGAGACCTGAGTTGGGGGAGGGACACAGGGTGAGAAGCTGGGGAGAGTGACACAGTTATGCCCGAGTGACCTCAGCCTGGTTGTCCTGTTGTCCAGACTTGAAACTACTGGAGATGGTTGCCCAGAATGAGAGGAGTCTTGTTTATTTTCACTTGGGCAGGGAGAACTAGAAGGTGAGGCCTGAATATTTGTAAAAACAGGCACTGGAGGGCTTATATATATTTTTAAAACAATGCTGACTCTGCATAAAGGAACGTTTTCCCATATTGTTTGTTAGCGAAGCTATCACGACCTAGACTAAGATCCCAAAGGATGTATGTGACACAAGCCCTCACTGAGTGTGGAATCCCCCTCCTCCTCTCCCCCGTAAAGGTTTAGTTGTGTCAGATCAACCTCTATTCCATTTGTACCTTTGTGGGACTGCTGTTCTCGAGAGCTAGGGATTTTGTAAATTGAGAGACAGCTTTCAGGAAGCAAAGATGATTCTGCTCGTTTGTTGTAGCTGTGACTTTGAATGCCACCAGTGCTGTTTCTTAGGATTACAGAATCTCTTCCTATATGTTTTGGTTCGTTGTAAGACTTAGGAAATTGAAAAAGAGACATGGCATTATTCATTTATTTACTTACTTTCTAAACAACTATTGTGTGTGCAAAACATTAGATAAATGTAGGAAATATATTGGAGCAGTTTGCATTTAGTTGGGGAGCTAAACACACAGGTATAAAGTTATGGTAGAGGTAACCTGGAAGAGTTTTATGGAACTTGACAGAGTGCTTCCACATGTATTTGAGGTGAGTGAGGGCAAACTTTTTTATCCTCACTTTACAGATGAGGAAACTGCTCTGTGTCGAACAACTCGTCAGTAGCAGCACTGGCCCCCAGACCCCTCGCTCATCATTCCCAGCTTCCTTGCCAGTGTGGACGGTGCGGGGGAGGGGGAAAGTGGGGAACGAGATGTGTTTGAACCAGGCCTTGAAGGACATCATGTCTGAGTGTAGAGGCCAGCCTGCCAGCTCATCTGAAGGCCATGTGAGATGTAAAAGCCTTGTCAGAAGTCCTGCCTGTTCCCAGGGCTCACCCTGTTACTCTGTTCCTGAGTGGCCAGCTCCTTCCGAGCTTCGCCCTCGGGCTGGACGTGTGTAATAAGGTGAGTGTCTGTTGCACACGTTACTTGGAATTAAACAAGCCCTTGGCTTTGTATTTGTTTTTGAGGCCCCACCACAAGGCCACATCAAAGTGGCTGAGATGTCAACTAGCAGGATGGCAGGTTGGAGTGGGGGCTGTTCGTTGAAGAGTCTTGAGGGTAGAAAGCAGGTGAGAGTGGCGGTGACGATTATAGACGATTATGAGGGACAGGCGCGTGGAGCTGTACGCCCCGGTCTGTGAGCCAGGCGTGGACTTCTTTCTGTCAGAGCTCTTAGCACGATTTGCCAATCTTCCCAGCTCCAGAGACAGGATATGCAGGAGGTGCTCAGGATTGGTTAACGGATGCATGTGCAGCTTTTTGTAAAGGTATAGATAGGACTTTTTCTCTCTCAGTCTACCTTTCTTTAATATGAAAATACTTTTAATAGAATTATCAAGTCAATCTCAGCATTTAAATTTTTAAATTTTGGATATTGTGAATGCAAAGGTATAGTTAGGCCATTCTTTAATTTGATTTCATTAGTCCTGGGTTATTACCATTTTGGTTACTGCCATTACGTTTCAGAGACTTCTTGTGAGGCCATTCCTCTGAAGGATTGAAGATAAAAGCAGCTGAACTTTGTTTGATTGACTAATTGACATTTTAAAGGACACTGAAGATCACAGCCCAGGTGACTGCAGTTAATTTACTCAGCGTTTACACACCACTCTTCTGTGTGCTTCAGTGTGTTAGGTCCTCCTCTCGGTCTGGAGTACAGCTCTCTCCCCCTTCTGCTCTGCTTGTCATCTGTGGGTTTCACATACCAGTGTCTTTCTAATGCAGCTTTATTCAGCACCAGAGGTGTGTGAGGCCTGGGCCCAGTGGTGCCAGAAACAAAGACATGAGTAAGAGATGTCCTCTCCTGGGTTGTCACCTGGTGGGGCCCCGATGGCGACTCAAGTAAGGTTCAGACCAGACCATGCTGGGGGCATCCTGGTGAAATTGGTGTCTGGAGGTGGGCCTTGAAGGAGCGGGAGGGAAGGGAGGAGGCTTTCTGTGTACCAGGCCCTGCTCGGTGTATTTCATCCTTGTAACAATCATCTAAGGTACATTTGGTTATTATCTGCATTTTATACAGAAGAAAGTGACAGAAATTAAGTAACTTGTCCAAGAGCACACAGCTCATCAGTGGGGCTGCTGGGATTCCAGCTCAGGCAGTGGGGTTGCAGAGTCCATGCTTTGAATTGCTCCACTAGATGAGTGGGGTTTGGACAAATGAAGGTTAAGGATTGTGGACTCCCAGGAGGTGGTGGGGAAGCCACGGGGATCAAAGGCATGGAGGAGGATGGGTTGGTTAGGGCCATTTTGCTGAGGCTGTGGAGTCCCACCTTGAAGGGGGTGACTGTAACACGCGAGAGTCATAACTCATAGTTGCACAGGCTTTGTGGGTCCCGTCACCTGTGCTGTTCCATTTGGTGGACTGTTGTATTTGTGATTCCGTGGGCAGTGGTGAGGTTGTGCAGGTTTTTGACTCAGGGAACTGTGTCGCGTGTTTCCTCTCCTACGTCTTCAAGCTGTCCCGAGTCTTTGGCGTTCATTCCCCAGTTGATGAGCGTGCTTAGGTCTCAGGCTTTGTGTCCTCTGCCCATTCTCTTTCCTTCCCTCTACAGTTGTACTTCTGGAAGGAGTTTTCTGGAGGGTCATCTGTACTGCTTCTACCTTCTTACCTCAGTCTACTCCTCCCTGTCTGCCTCTGACTGTCCCCTGCCATCCCCTGGGGACTGTCTTCACTGAGGTGTCAGTGACTGGCTCATTGCTCCTTCCAGAGAGGACTTTTCAGTCTTTATCTTACCCAGTGGTGCCCAACCAGGAGCAATTTTGCCTCCCAGGTGATATCTGACAATGTCTGGAGACATTCTGGGCGTGTCACCATCGAGGGGGGTGGTGCTAGTGCCATCTAGTGGGGATGCTGCTGAACATCTTACAGTGCCCAGGACGGCTCCCACAACAGAGAGTTATCCAGCCCAAAATGTCCGCAGTGCAGAGGCTGAGAAACTGATCTTACCTGGCGCTCTGGGGCATTTCACAGGCCTCCCTTCTTGCAGCTTTCTCCGAACTGTCTTGATATGCTTCTCTCCTGACTTGTCTCCCAGTGAATTCTCAGTTCACTCCTTACTAATCTCTGTGGAGGACTCATCTCCTCCAGCCTTTGACGTTGCTTCCCGGGATTCTTTTCCACTCCTCACATTCCTCTTCAGCTAGCTCGTCAGTCCAGGGCTGTTACGTCCATCTCTGGGCGCGTGGCTCCACGTCTGTATTCACGGCTCCAGCTCCCTTGAGCTCCAGTCCTGTCTTTCTCCACCTTGGTGGTGTACGGGCACTTCTAACTCAGCAGGTCCAAAGTGGAGTCATTCGAAAGTCGTCTTGTCCAACCTGCCCCTCCGATGTTTGCTGTCCATCGGCATCCCCACCCCCAGCACTGAGAGGCATTTTGCACTGCCGCTGTGGCTCAGGCACTGCTCATTTCTCACCTGGGTTTCTGCACAACCCCGCTCTGGCCTCCTGCCCGCAGCCTCGTGTCCCACACTGCTACCCGGGGGAGCTTTCTAGAACAGAACTCCGACTGAGGGGCTCTGTGGCTCACAGTCCTCATTTAGCTTCTCAGCTACAACAGATAAAGTCTCAACTGAGCATGGCATATGGAACGTTCGTGATCAAGCCCAGTGGTTCCCAAATGGGAGTTGTGCTGCCCTCCAAAGGGGCCTTTTGAAAATGTTATGGACGTTGAAGTAACAGGAATCCAGAGGAATTCCAGCCTCCATAAATCCTATTTACTTCTTAAGAAATGGGTTCTACTTTGCGTCAACAAGTTTTCTGTCCTTTCTGGGAACCTGCTTGGCCTTTGGGATGCCTTGTGGGGCGTGTGGTTACATAGGGTAGCAACATTTCGGTGTTCCTGCTTTCTATCCTTATAGCTTTAGGAGAATTCTGACTGCTTCCTTCATGACCTGGCATTATAGTTCTGTGTAGACCAACAATTAGTTTGACCACATCTCTGCCATTAGGTATCAGACCATTCTAGAAGAAAATTGGGGGTGAGGCAGGTCTGTTTGCCAGCTTCTCTCTGGTATTCAGGATAGCCTAAACCCCATGATAAAGGCTCTGAGGGCCCTTTGGAGCTACCACCTGAACAGGTTGGTTAAGTAGCTTTATATTATTTCCTGGTTCACTGGAGTGATTCATTTTTAAAGGAACGCTGGAACTGCCTGTCATTACACCCACATCTTAGGAAGACCTCATACTACACCCTTCAAATACTGCCATACAGCTAATTGCACTGTGAAAGATTTGGACTTTTTGAAGCTTATAGTGTGTTTCTCAACAGATAATAAATATCAGAAAATAGATTCTCTTGGCACATCATCATACCCGAAGAAAATAGTAAATGTTGTCTAATCCTGTCTGGTGTTATTCCGGTGGCAGAAATCTTGACACCAGAAAAATCATACCTTTGGCATGAATGGGCTAATGCAAGATGGTAGCTTTGATCTCTGCCTTGGTGTCAGCTGGAATCCCACGTCCTGCGTGCTGAATCCCTCTCTCTCTTTATGTTCCTCTCCAGAAGCCCCTTGTGCCACGCCGCTGATCTGCAGCTTCGGGAGGCCGGTGGACCTGGAGAAGGACGACTCCCAGAAGGTGGTGTGCAACAACGAGCAGTGCCCCTACAGCACCTGGATGCACCTGCAGTGTTTCTACGAGTGGGAGAGCAGCATCCTGGTCCAGTTCAACTGCATCGGCCGGGCTCGCAGCTGGAACGAGAAGCAGTGCCGCCAGAACATGTGGACAAAGAAGGGCTATGACCTGGCCTTCCGCTTCTGTTCCTGCCGCTGTGGACAGGGCCACCTAAAGAAGGACACAGACTGGTACCAGGTGAAGCGGATGCAGGATGAGAAAAAGAAGAAGTCTGGGACGGAGAAGAACACAGGCAGGCCCCCCGGTGAGGCGGTGGAGGAGGCAAAAAAGTGCAGGCCACCGAACAAGCCCCAGAAAGGCCTGAACCACGACCTCCCCCGCCGGCATTCCATGGACCGGCAGAACTCCCAGGAGAAGGCGGTGGGTGCCGCGGCCTACGGGGCCCGCTCCCCCTGTGCCTCCCCCGGCCAGTCGCCGCCCACCGGCTACTCCATCCTCTCCCCTGCCCACTTCAGCGGCCCCCGTGCTTCCAGGTACCTTGGGGAATTCTTAAAGAATGCCATCCATCTGGAGCCGCACAAGAAGGCCATGGCGGGGGGCCACGTGTTCAGGAACGCCCACTTTGATTACAGTCCGGCCGGGTTGTCGGTTCACCGCGGGGGCCACTTTGACACACCCGTGCAGTTTCTGCGGCGCCTGGATCTCTCCGAGCTGCTGGCTCACATCCCCAGGCATAAGCTGAACACGTTCCACGTGCGCATGGAGGACGATGCCCAGATGGGCCAGGGCGAGGACCTGCGGAAGTTCATCCTGGCGGCCCTCAGTGCCAGCCACAGGAACGTCGTGAACTGTGCGCTCTGCCACCGGGCGCTCCCGGTGTTCGAACAGTTCCCCCTGGTGGACGGGACTCTGTTTTTAAGCCCGTCGAGACACGATGAGATTGAATACGATGTTCCTTGTCACCTTCAAGGTACAGGTGTCAATTCACCTTGCCGGCTTTCTGTTTGTTAAAAGCTGAAAAGCAGACAAGACGGGGTGGCTCTGCTCTGGCTTAATTTTAACTGCTGGCTCTTCTTGTCCTAGTGAGGTGCTGGGTTGTGTTTGAATATATCGGCTCGGCCCAGTGAGGTGTGGAGGTGGGGACGGGTTTTTTACTCTGATGTCACTGTACCAGATACAGTTGTCCTGGTGGGTAATTTTATGTTTTCAGTCTGCTGTAATTTGAAGAGAGGATTCCTGGTGTATAGTTTTCCATAACTGGGAGAAAATTTAGAGAAGGAATTGGATGGTTCTGTCACTTGCTGTAAAATAGTTGTCTGTGAAACCTGTGTTAGTGTGTCCAGTAAGCTGTGCATTTTCTTTGATCCTTGTAAGCATAACAGTGAGGGAACGTGGGGGTCAGAGAGGGCCAAGGCGTTCGTTAATCTTGAAGTTTATGAAAGACGAGACAGTTGATAGCCACAAAAGGGAAATGCAGGATTATTGCAAGCTCAGACGTTTACTCTGGTGCTGAAGGCTGGGGAGCTGATGAGTGCTGTGGGGGACGTTCAAGGACTTGGGGACGTCTCAGCTGTAAGTTGAATTTTAGGGGATTGGTCAGAATAAGTGAGAAATCTGTCAATTCTTGTAAAACTATTGGATTTATGTAAAAATGGGACACATGACATATAACATGTTTATAACTTTAAAAGTGTGCTAAAAAAGCCTGTAGTAAAAATGATATATCCCCACCTGTCTTTTTCCCACCAACCCTGTTGTCTCAGTTCCCAGAGACAAGCACTTTCAAATCTTAACTGATTCTTCAGGTTTTTACCATCATAATTTCAAAGCTATTCTCTTCATCTCCAATTTTAGATATTACCTATTGACTTACTTTTAAGGTAGATGGCTGTTTATGCTTTCTTGCCTCTTCCCCTTTCTATCAGGATAGTATATCACAATTCTTGGTTAAATCTTTAATGTTTTTACTGTTATGAGTATATAAATATTTAGTGTTGAGCCAAGAAGTATAGAAGTATGAGTGTATTTCCTATATAGAGTACAATATATTCTGGAACACCTTTTGTTTTTATTAAAGTTAATAATTGCTTCACATTTTCATTTGCTTAGCCTTGTTCAAAACTTTGGTTGTCTCACTCTCCAGCAGCTCTCCAAACCACCCTTCAAAAACATTTCCACGTACCTGTCAGACGTTTTATGAATTGTTTTTTCTAGAAATTTCCTTCATGGAGCCTTTCATCTTTGTGCTCCTGTCTGTCCTATGCACTCAGTACCTGCTAGTACGTAGCTGCCTTCTAGGAATTCTTTAATTGCGTTCCTATTTTTTTTATCTTCTTTTTCCTAGATCCCATATTTTCTTTTTTCTTGGTTTATTCCCTCAGTCTGTTAAGCAACATCCTCAGGAGCTTTCTGAGAAAGGGAGCATGGGTGTAGATGTTTTGAGACTTTGAAAACCTGATAATATCTTGATTCTATCTTCACACTTGATTGCTACTTGGCTGGGTGTAGTGTTCCAAGTTATAAATTTTTCCCTTAGTATTTTGGCATTTCTTCACTGTCTCCTATCTTCCAGTGTCACTGTTGTGAAGTCTAATATGATTCTTTTTTTTTTTTTAAAGATTTTATTTATTTTATTTTTTCCCCCCAAAGCCCCAGTGGATAGTTGTGTGTCGTAGCTGCACATCCTTCTAGTTGCTGTATGTGGGACTCGGCCTCAGGATGAACAGAGAAGTGGTGCCTCGATGTGCACCCGGGATCCGAACCCGGGCCGCCAGCATCGCAGCGCGCGCACTTAACCACCAAGCCACAGGGCCGGCCCTCTAATATGATTCTTATTCCTTTCCCCTTATTCTCCCCTCCCATCCCCTGAAGGTTTTAAGATTTTCTCTTTATCCCTAGTATTCTGAAGTTTCACCATGATGTCGGTCTTTTCTTTCATTCTTTGTGCAGGGTGCTTTCTTGGCTGTTTGACTATAAACTTGTGGTCTTCAGTTTGGGGAAATTTTCTTCCGATTTATTTCTTTGATGATTTCCTCCCATTTTTTTTTTTTTTTAATAAATTCTGTGACACTGTTAGATATTGGACCTCTTAGATTAATACTGTTTTTGAGTTGGGGGGATCCTTTATTATATATGTTTTGGCCCTATTGTTCATCTCTCTATCTTTATTCTGCTTTCTGGAAGATTTCCTTGACTTCATTTATAGTCCAGTATTTTTGCCGAGTTTAAGCTTTTCTGTTGGTATATTTATTATTTCCAAGAGCTCTTTTTAATAGCGTCCTGTTCTTGTTTCAAGGATGCAATTTCTTGTCTTATCTTTCTCAGCTGGGAAAGGGAGCTGAAGTTGCAGGGAGTGGTCTCATTCATTTTCTGGAGTTTCACTTAATCCCTTATGTCTTAAGTCTTTGTTATAAGACAGACCACTCCAAAAGTTAATGGTTTCAAACAGTGATGATTTATAATTTCTCACAATTCTATGTGTTGGTTGGTTAGGATGGCCTCTCACACGTGTCTGCCAGTTGGTCGCCTGGTGGCCTCGGGCGCCCCAGCTAGAATGGCTCATTCCTGTTCTAGAGTCTTTCATCTTCCAAGAGGCCAGCTGGGCTTTTTCACGTGGTGTTCCCAGGACAGCATTCAAGAGGGTGAGAGTGGGAGCTGCATGTTCTCTCTCTCGAGAGGCTTAAGTTTGGAACTGAGTAATATCACTATCACATTCTGTTCTTCAAAATAAGTTGTAAGGCTAGCCCAGGTTCAGGGGATGAGTAATAGACTGTGCTTCTTGATGGAAAGTTGCATAGAATGTAGGTTACTTGTACTCCCCACTGTCTCCCTTTCAGCACCTTGTCCCGCTGTCCCCTGTGCTTGTTGTCCAGTCTTGGAGCTAAACCATTTACCGTTCCTCCATATGATTTCTGACCTCGTATTTTGGTTTAGGGTTCTAGGTGCCTTGTAGTGTCATGGAAGACGAAGTTTGTGTTTTGTGTTTTCTTGTTTTGTATACTGTTTGGGGACAATTTTAGAGGGAAGTAGGTGGAAACACCTTTACTTCACCATTGTAAGACTGGAAATGTTCTTTATGAGGATGAATGAGGGTTCAAGGGTACAGGCTACTTAAGAGTAGTGCTGTTCTTTTTTAATTCATGATGGACAAATTCTTTTCATTCAGTCTGTTTGTCAACCAGTCAAACTTATGAATTTCATACATATGCTGGGTACTATCAGTCCTTGCCTATCATCAATTTATAATTTTAGGATGTTAAGTTGCTTTTATGAAAATGGAACTTTATCAGGCCAAAGTGCTAGTACCACCTGTAAAATTACTCCTGAGTATTATGTACATTAATTAAGCATCCTGTAATTTCCAAGGAGGAAGTGGCTGCTTTGGCCTGGGTAGTCAAAGGAACCAACGTGAAGGCAGATGTCCAGAGGTGGGCTAGATTTTGATAAGCAGAGGTCAAGCCACATCAGGTGTTTATTGATAAGGAGAGGGAGCAATGTGGACAAAGACATGGTGGTTAAAAAAAGTCAGGAGACAGAAAACCGTTTGGTTGGAGCAGAGGTCTAGAGTGGAAAATGAATAGGGTAGGTGGAGAACAGGTTGTGGGTGTTCTTTCAAGCCATAATAAAGAGTTTGCCATGTTCTTTATGAATCGAAGGGTTTAAAAAAGATTTTTAAAGCAGATGATCGCTTGGGGGAAAAGTTGTTTGAAAGGAGTGGAACCTACGTACAGTGAGTTGGGGCTTGTATCCCTAATCTAGATGGAAGGAGGTGAGAGACTGCTGGGGGGTAATGGTGGGAGCTGAAAGGTGGAAAGATCTGCAAGAGGTTATTTTAAAGGAAAAATTATAGCTTTGGGGACCACTTGACTGTACAGGATGAAGATGTGTCCTTGTTGGCTCACCTTGGTCTAGACCAGATAGATAGATGATGCTGTCACGAGCAGGAGTGGAGAAAGTTGGGAAAGGGACCTGATCTCAGGGCACAGAAATGAGGGCATTGGTGTGTGTTGGGTTTGAAGAATGTTGGGACTGTTGTGTGCAGGTGTCTCGTAAGTGCTATTGGCAGTAAGCATTTGGGACAAACCTGGGGGAGCGTATTTTATAACAGTGATGGTTAAAACCTTGAGAGTGGGAGAGCTCCTGAATGGGGAGAAAGGGGAAAGAAAAGGAAGAGTGTGTGACAGAGCCCAAGACCTCATCTTGAGCGTATTGCTCAGGGAGGGGATGGAGAAAGGTGAAAATTAGATGGCCCTGAGAACTGTGTGTGTGTGTGTGGGTGTGTGTGTGTTTACACACAAGTGCATACACATCCGCAGAGAGACAGTGGATGTGGTAGGCATGTACTACAGAGGTCTTGAGTTTAGCTATTGATGATAGAATCTGAAGATCAGGGTGTTTTATCAAGTACCAGACAAGTCAGTGCCACAGGCAGGGCCTTAACGTGTGTCAGTGTTTTTATTGCCATATCTCAGAGAAGCTCATGCAGTCTTTTTTCTAGCAAGCCAGTGTAAATCATTTCTTTCATCACAGAGTCCCAGCCATGTTTTCCATCAGCATTTTCAGCACCAGTAGAAAGGCTGTGTTCCAGGCCATAGGTCCCAGAGGAGTTGATCACAGGCTGCTGGAATAACCAGTGGTTTCCAGTGCTGGACCGTGGGGGTGGTCACTCCCTGTCCTGCCTTCACCCCTCACCGCCTCCCCGGCCTCTGCTCTCGGACTCCTCCTCAGAGATGTTTTTGTTTGGTTTTAGTAATTTGTTAGGGTTGATCTCATTGGGAAGTTCTTATTGTACTTCTTTATCGCTCAGAACCACGTGTGACTGTTCTCTCGGGGATCTACGTTTTGCCTGAATTCACAACTCTGGAGTTTAGAAATTTAAAATTCTCTGTATTTAGAACCTTGTGTAGTGGTAATGAAACCAATCTAGAGACTCAGTCCGGGCCAGGCGTTCGCCTGAGTGTACCTGGAGGTGACGAGTCGGACAGACATGAATTTAGGTGTAGGCTTTGCTACTTATTATCTTTGTGAACTTGGGCGAGCTACTCCAGCTCTAGTCTAAGCCTTTGTTCCTCCTGTCTGAAGTGGGAATAACAGTAATGCCTACTGCGTCGTGTTGCTGTGAGGGTAACTGAAGTGATTCACGTAGCCTCGTAGCACAGCGCCAGACCCTTGGCAAGCACTCAATACAAGTTCCCTGTCAACTCCACCATCGTGGTCATTGCTGCCAACACCTGACTTCTGTGTCTGTCCCTGCCCCCACCCTTCCTGGCCCCCTCCCAGATATCTTTGAATATTTGAGAATTGCAGTGAGTAAATCTAGGAGGGAGACTGGAAATGAAGCCCTGGAAATCCAGTGGCTCCTGGATGCTTGAACTGGCGTCCTGAAATGTCCCCCGGCCACTCCAAGTGGGCCTGCCATGTGAGACCTTTTTATTTTTGGTGCTCTAGAACAGAGGTGCAGTACCGCAAGAAGCTCTTGTCGCCTTTCCGTTTTTTTTTTTTTTTTTTTTTTGCTGAGGAACATTGGCCCTGGGCTGACATCTGTGTCCATCTTCCTCTACTTATATAGGACGCCGCCACAGCATGGCTTGACAGGTGGTGCGTAGGGCCACACCTGGGATCCAAACCAGCAAACCCCGGGGCCACCAGAAGCAGAGCGCGCGAACTTTACCACTACACCACTGGGCCAGCCACTGCCTTTTCCATTTTTGACGTAGAGGCCCCTAAAGTTGTCATGTCTTTGGCTGTTAACATCCATTCATCCAACATACAATATGGAGTGCTTTTCACATGGCAGACATTGTGCTAGACACTGAGCCTACAAGGATGAATAAGACATGTTTCCTGCCCTCAAAGAGGGAGAGAGTCTTGTGAGCAAATGCAATAAAAAATTTCCCTCTAAGAACCTCATGCCCCTCTCCACTGTAAGGAGTAGGCTGGGCCTTACCATGGCAAGGGGAAGAGCCGCGGCCTGGCTGATGGCCGCGAGCAGCACACTCTGAAGAAGAAGCCTCTGAGGAGCGTGCGTTCTCCTGACGGCAGTGTTAGCACAGCGGGCTCCCTTATCCCGCGTGGAGAGAGCTGTGGCTGTTACACACTGCCCAGGCCCATCCTGGACGTTCCGACTCTTTCCCAGTTATTTGAACCCTAACCCTTCCGTATAAACTAGGGAGACGTCTTCCCTTCACAAGCATTTGATGTTGCTGAATAATGGAGGAATGGGTTGTGACTTTTAAGAGCCCAGTAAATAACAAGACATTGAACTCCTTTTAAAAAACCACTTACAAGTAAGTTATAATTCTGGTTCCTAAATTAGATGTGGTGATAGCTGAGCAATTTTGGAGGCCTGGACAGTTAACATAGTAGTTTTGGCTGTGGTATAATTCTGGGCCACCAATACCAAGGCAGACTTTTGACTTCTTTATGATGGGACTTGTCGGTGGCTGAAAGCCCATAACTACAGACCAGCATTGCTGGTTCAGTCTCCGTATGCCACACTTAGACTGCAGAGCAGAAAGTCCTGCGTGTTCACAGGCTGGTTTTGAGCATCTGTGGCTTGGTCATTTGAGTTCGGGTGTCCACTGTAAACCTGTCAGCACTTGTTAGAAAAGTGAATTGAAGTGAGTATTTAGTAAGATTGAAGTTAAGGTACATGTCCCATTGACAGCAGTTAGTAATTCTTCATCATTCTAGAAGGACATCTTGGGGCTATGTGATAAGTGTCATCTATTTTGCTTTTTATATTTATCCAAATGATAAAATGGGGCTGGCCGCATAGCTTAGCGGTTAAGTGCGCGCGCTCTGCTACTGGCGGCCCGGGTTTGTATCCCGGGCGCGCACTAACGCACCGCTTCTCCGGCCGTGCTGAGGCCGCGTCCCACATACAGCAACTAAAAGGATGTACAACTATGACAACTATCTACTGGGGCTTTGAGGAAAAAAAAAGAGGAGGATTGGCAATAGATGCTAGCTCAGAGCTGGTCTTCCTCAGCAAAAAGAGGAGGATTAGCACGGATGTTAGCTCAGGGCTGATCTTCCTCAAAAAAAAAAAAAAAAAAAACGATAAAATGTTTCTTATAATTGATAGGTGAGCCATTTTTGGGTCCCCTTTAGAGACAAAAGGTGATTTCCTTGATGGCCACTCTCAGTGTTGTGTCTTCTGTGCGCAGGGAGACTCATGCACCTGTACGCGGTGTGCGTGGACTGCCTGGAAGGGGTGCACAAGATCATCTGCATCAAGTGTAAGTCGCGGTGGGACGGCAGCTGGCACCAGCTGGGCACCATGTACACCTACGACATCCTGGCCGCCTCTCCGTGCTGTCAGGTTGGTATTGACCCCTCAGAGCAAGCAGTGGGTGATCCCGGGCTTCTGTCCCCAAGCGAGTGTAGAGGAGTTAGAGGCAGCACCATGGTCAGGCTGGGGGAGGATGAGAGCACAGAGAAGATGCTGCAGTGGTGAGCAGTCATAACACTCCCCCAGGGTCCAGCAATGATGGACTGCTCTGCAGTCCTTAAAAAGGGGTATTGTAGAATGATGTGTAATTATGTGGGAACTACTTTAAGTCAAAAAAGCAGGCTATAGATGACATAATAGTATGCTTCCACTTGTAAAAAGTGAACAGGAAAAGGGATCTGCCAGCCTGTTCCCAGAGGTGATTTTTGGATGGTGGGATGCTGAGTGGTTCCTTTAGTTTTCTTTCTTTCTTTCTTTCTTTTTTTTTTTTTTGGTGAGGAAGATTGGCCCTGAGCTAACATCTATGCCAGTCTTCCTCTATTTTGTATGTGGGATGCCGCCACAGCATGGCTTGATGAGTGGTGTGTAGGTCCGTGTCCAGGATCCGAACCTGTGAACCCTGGACCACAGAAGTAGAGTGCGCGAACTTAACCACTGTGCCAGCCCGTTATTCAGTTTTCTTTTTGTTTACTTATATTTTCTAATGTTTTGTATGATTAACATATATTGTTAATAAGAAAAAGTTATTACTTAAAAGGAAGAAGAAAGTTTCACTTTCTGTAACAGCCAGGATTTTCTTTTGTTTTCTGAGGGAGGGACGGTGGTTACCCAGCGCTGCCTGCCTGCCTTCTGAGGTGCTTGAGGTTGACATGAAAGATCTGTCATCTTTAAAGCACTGCTAAGAGGAGGCATTTTCTGATGCTAAGAGAGCGTCTGAAATTTAGCTTTCATCAGGAAAAGAGGAAGTATTAACATGTGAAAACACATCAAATAAGTCCAGAGAAACACAAGAGACAAAACAAAATCCTTGGAAATGTCTTGGTTTATTTCCAAGTGCTTGGGGAAAGGAAAGCTCTTGTTAATATAATTCCCTGATTTTCATGGGTAGGAGGGAGATTTCCCTTGACTCTTCAGTGGCCAAGCCTGGCTTTTAATATAAATAACTAATAAGCACTTCATTAGTTACTGCAGTTTTGTATCTTTAGCGTTATGGTTGGACTTTTGTAAAGAGAATATCCTTGTGGTTAGCAGTTTATTCAGAAGATAACCTGTTGGCTGAATTAAAAGGTTGGCAGAGTCATTATTTCTGCTCTGCTCTAGATCTCAGAAAAGAAGTATGGGCCTGCAAGACCTCAGTGGCCATCCATAGCCTGTCGTTTGATTCGATAGGATTGACAACTTTTATGGTATTCTAATACACAGACCACATTTCCATTTTTAAACTTAGCCTTAGAAATGAGATATCATAGTCGTTTAGTTACTCACTGCAGTATTTTATAATCTGCACCGTTCCTTAATGCCAGCTCTTGAGAAGAGAGAGGCGAAAGGAAATGGCTCCCCTTTCTCCACACACACACGAGAGATAGTTATCTTTTCAAGAAGTGAGGAAGTGAGAGAATGTTTGGGTCTGTCACTCACAGAATGTGAGCACTGGGAAGGCCCTGGAAGATCTCGTCCAGCGTCCTTATTTTCCACGTACAATGGAGGCCTGAGATATTGAATGTTTTACCCAGGTCCACACAAGTGTGTCACAGCTGTGGGTAGAGCCTGTGCCTCCCTGTCTGGTATTCTTTCTACTGCGCCACTGGGAGGCGGGGGGATTATTTCCTTATCTGTAGGGAGCAAGGCAGAATGGCATCCCGCCACACTCAGCCTGTTGCCACATATATTTCTTTCTTAAAAAATCGACGCCCAGACCTTTATTTTCTGGCCCTCTACTGAAATGGAAAACAGGCTTGATTACTGTTTAACTTTGAAAAAATATCAATTAACTATATTCACTGTGGAGGTACAAGTGTTAGACACTACTAAGGAATCAAGGAAGGTCTTCAATAAGACTCTGAGGCAAAAATAAGCAATCATTAGTTTGGAGAAAGGAATAACAGGTTAAAGAGAGAGGTTTGCTCAGAATCTCACTTTTACTGTTGTTCAGAGAGAGAGTCAATTAAAGGGAGTTTCTCTCAGGTTACAGGAAGGTCGTACATGTAATGGCTGAGTGTGGGCCCTGGGGTGGGCTCCTGAGGTTCAAATCCTAGCCTTTCTGCTTCCTCGCTTGTGGTCTTGGGCATGCTGCTTTATCAACAGGTGCCTCGAGTTCATCATCTAAAATTCACATGCTCCTACCTACCTCACAGGAGTGTTCTGAGGACAAAATGGGGTTATACTTTAGTACATTTTTAGAATGAATCTAAATTGAGAGTCTGCTGTATTTATAATTTCTGGTTACTCACTCACGTCCTTGGGCCTAGTGCTGGCAGCTGAGTATTGTGCTGTGAGCGAGGCCGGGGTGAGTGAAGAGAGAGTGTGCGAGTGGCCGCAGAAGCCTCGGGGTAAACACAGCCCTTCTTCCTGGATTGTTAATTTTACTTGAATATTTTAGGGAAATTTTGTTTTTTCATCTAAGAAAACACAAATGCAGAAAGGAGTAGAATGAAAAATATATATGAGTTTTTAAAATAAACCTAGAATCTTCAGAAAAGTTTCATGCAGGTTTGGGTGAGGAATGTCAGTTTCAGCCACCCTTGAAAATCCAAGGAAAGGGGTTTCCTATTGTCAGGGAGACTTCAGTGGGGAAGTTTACAAGTTTAGAATTTTCTTTCTACCAGGAGGTGATGCTGCCTGTTGGGAGAGAAATCAGGAGTTGTTCACCTCGCAGCCTGATGATGAATACTGGATCTGTGTATCTCATGCTTTGCTTACCCTGTTTTTGGTAATAAAAGGCTGCGTTACTGAACTCTTCTCAGTTTCCCAGAAGTGGCAGTCTTGCATTTTGGTTTGGGTGACTTGGACAGTGTTGGGGGCAGAAGGGTGGCGGCTGACGTGTCCGTGTCCCCGCAGGCCCGCCTGAACTGCAAGCACTGCGGGAAGCCCGTGATCGACGTGCGCATCGGGATGCAGTACTTCTCTGAGTACAGCAACGTCCAGCAGTGTCCGCACTGCGGGAACCTGGACTACCATTTCGTGAAGCCATTTTCCTCCTTCAAAGTTCTCGAAGCTTATTGATGAAAGCTTTGCTTTAGTAATAGCTATTTTATTGATATTATTACTTTATTACATATCTTTTATAGGGAAACATTCTGTGACATTAATTTCTTTTCTAATTTAACAGAGAGCTCCTTTGTGTGTGTGCCACTAAGATGGGGCTTGCCCTCTCTCGACTCCTGAGTGTTAGTCTGTGGTCATGACCAGAGCCCAAATGGGTCACCCTGTGAGTCCGAGTTAGCAGTTCACTGTCACCAAGAGTCTCCCATGCAGCTTTTAAGGTGATGGGGAGGATGGGGTGAATTTAGGAAGGGATTATGTGGTTATAAACTAAGAGCATGGTAGGAGCTGGGAGGAAGCTTTTACTAAAGTGTTAACTGTCTAAAGACCCACTCTTAGATCTTCTCTGGGCCTTGGAAAACCACGTGACACGTGAATGTAAGTCTGCGCCTGGAGAGCTGACGGTGTTAGTCTGTCCTGGTGTGGCGATCTGCAGCACACACTGACCTGCAGTTTACCCTCATGGACAGATATTTGAAAGCGGACATGAGCGCGGTTTCGTCACTGTTGTGATTTAACAGTCTGTTTTCATACTGAAAATAATATCCAAATTATAAGACATATGAAAGCTATTGGTGTTGCAAATACTTTTAGTAAAGCTGACCTAGAACGGAGAGAATATACTAGATGAATATGAAAGTGATGACATTCACTCAAGAGGGCAGACCCCCGTTATTTGAATTGTCTTCGAAGTTGGTCTCATCAGCTCTGAAGGAGGATCCAGGAACAGCTTGATTTGGGCAGTGCTCATTTCCAGAGGTTGCACTGTGGAAGTGCCGTTTGGTGTCAGAACTTCTGACAGGTAATTCTCACAGCACAGACTCTAACTGGGGAGTTTCAGAACCATTACTGCCACACTTACCTTCCCCAAAAGTGCTCATGGCCATGTTTTACCCATTTAATGTTGAGTTTCCAAAATCAAAGATTTGACCCTAGGAAGGAAGGGAAAAAATTGTGAGGATATGAAGAAAAGAATAATTTTAATATTTTCTTTTTAAGTATGTTTCATTTTGGAAAATCACGGATTGTAATATATAATAATATGTTTGAAAATAGATCATTCTCAAGATCCCCATGATACCTTACCATTGGCAAAAAAAGATGATAATTTATGTAACTGGATTAGTCAGAGCATTGGACTTTCCAAAATACAGCCTTCTGTTCATTAGATCTTGATGATTTTAATAGGTGACACCCAAACCCTTATAGAATTGGAATTGGAATATGATTTCTCAAAAATGAATTGGATAATTTCAAGTATAATATGCATATATGCCAAAAGAATGCTGAAAATATAATTATTTTATGGGTAGCCAAATTTGGGGTTATGTGAACATTTTATATTACTCATTTGGTTTATCCCATTTTTTTCTCAGAAAAACGGTTGTTTTTCCTCTCAGAAGTGTTTGGGCATTATTGCAAGTGAGTGTCATTTCTACTACATGAAATATTTGATGTTTTGTTTGAAACAACACAGCATTAAAGAACCAATGTACTGACTAACGTTCTTCATCCTTTCAGTTTGGATGATTGTAATTCAGTTTACCACATCTAGTTTGGTGTTTGATGATCTGAGGAATATTACACAATGGGGGAGATGCTCAATGCCTATAAGAAGCAAAAAATCATTATTGGTCTGATGGTATTTGATGCAACTAAAACAGGTCTGTAAGAATGACCCTTGCTAATTTGTCTTTAATACACAAAGCTGTAATTGTGAATTAACTGTTTGCCTGTTGATTCTCTCATGTACCCAAGTATAAAAATTGGTAAGTGTCTCTTGTCTTCAGACTACCATTTGGATTTTATGTCTGAATTTAAAATGAATAGTAAAATATTTGTAATGCTGCTCTCTAACCCACCTAAACTTTTATAGAGAAACCTGCTTATATTGTTGTTCTGAAGCTTAGTTTCCACAGAGATCGCATTCAGCAAGCTCCTCAGTCTAAAACTGCTGTGAGTGTCGTGTATGATGCATTCAGTGTTTTCTCCGTCTATTGTTTTCTATTTCCTGAAAAATAAGTATGACGAGGTTTCACTGTAATTGGGTGAAATTTGCTTTTGGCCTTTATTTTGATGATCAAGTTAGGATTCTGTGGATGCCACAGTTATATAAAAGGAGAGGCCTGGGTGTCATATCTGAGGATATCTTTTGCCTTTAAGGCATTGCATTCTCGTCTAAAAGGGAAAATTTGGCTGATCTGAGAATAAAATATAATTGAGTGTGCAACGATGTGAAGAATAAATCTTATTTTGGAAATCTGCCGACCTTAATATTTTCCCCACACTCTCTCCAAGTCCTTTGCTCTATCTCGATGGGAGTTGGAATATGTCAAAAAAGATAATTATTTGTGTGGTTTGGATATTAAAGGATATTAGTCACGCAGGAGATCCATTTTCTGTTTTTCTGATGAATAGTGTTCAATAACATGAACCACTCATAAGTGAGTAATAATTTCAACATGATTTTTCTTCTACTCTAACTTTTTTTTATCATTTATTTTAAAGAGTTGCCTACCTTGAACAAATAAAATTATCTGCTTGAACTTAGTGAGAAGACTTTCTGATGGTCTCATCGTTTTCTCTTCAGACCAGCTTAGCTCTCCAGTCTCTTCTGGTTGCATCTGAAGCAGTTGATATACTGGGTTTATACCTTAAGAGAGAGACATTGGCATGACATTGGGGAGTGGGGTCAATTGTCCCATTCTAATTAAGAAAGAGCTTTCCCTAAGCAGTCATTAATTTCCAGTTTTTGTAAAAGATGTTCATTTTTAGAGTAAGAAGCATTTTCATATCTGTTTGGGGGAAATGAACTCATCAGGAAAGAATATTGTTAGATGTTTAAACCCTAAAACTAACAGATATCTGATGCATAACTTGCTAGACAACCAAAACTAACTTGCTGAGATCTTTGGTTTTGTCCTGTAAGACCAGTGCTTGACATCCAGTCTGTTCTCCTGAGCCCAGGTCAGTAACTCCAGGTTGCTTTTCTCTTCAGTCTCATAGTGGCAGCCTTGATCATTTTCCTTGGAGGTTGGGGAGGAGGTGAGGAGAAGGTGCTCTTCAGTGTTTTGGTTCCTATATTAGGATGCTGCCTAACCCAGCTCATCTCAATGTCCTGTTGACTTTATTATTATTCCAGGTAATTGAAAGAAAATATAGTGGATGGGCGTCATTAAAACCAGCTCAAAAGTATATTCTTGTCAGTAAAGATTTCTTGTTGAGATGTCTTGGATTGCACTTTTGTGGAGGGAAGACAGTGTAAATAGTTAAAGAATGTTGATAAAATTGAAACATTTGGTTATGGAATTGTATGTGGTCTTAGAAGGTTTCTGTTTGTGAAATGTATGTATTAAAATAATAAAATTTCAGAAACTAACATTGTACTCTCTCTCTTTATTGTGTCACTTTATTTTTTGTTGGGATTCAAGGTTTTCAAGCCTGGGCTAGTTTGATCAGAAAAGATAGTAGAGAAGACTTGCTGAGGTTTTGATCCCTATTCAGTAGCCATGCCCAAGTCAGCACTGCAGCTAATAAAAACTGTGAATTTTTTGTGCTGCTTGAAAGTGGTGTGTCACCTGTAAACTCCCTCTGCAACCAAGCGAGCATCCTGTATAACAAAGCTGGTTCCCTATGGAGAGTCCAAAATTACTGTTCTGGTTATAGGGAATTCTATTGAAAAGATAGATAATCCTATTCTACCAGTGTTTTCTTTGGTTCCTAGACCTGTAACAATTTTCATAATGAAGAGACTTGATTATATGCTTCTTCATTATGAGAAAATGGAAACTGAGTTGTAATTAAACTTCTTGCTGACACTATGCACTGTGATCAAGTATAGTTTATCTTGTCTCCTTTATTTCGGATAGTCTCAGCCAATGGATTGAAATCTATAAAACATTAGAACATGGGGTAAGATGGGGAGACGTGGGTGAGGAGAGAGTCTCCCGTCTGCCAGTGGATTCAAAGCCACTTATTTACTACAGACTCTGACACATAAATTTTATTTTATTTGAAGGGTTAAGGACTTGGGATATTGTGATTTCTACGAGGGTAATTTATGTCAACAAAATTCCTTTGCAATTGTAAGGAAAGTACAGTTCTTAACTGTAGTAGGAAAAAACCAGAGTTAAACTGATGGATAGGAATTAAGTTGAATGAAAGAAAAGTCGTATTTGTTCTTAGTGGTTTCCATTTCTTTAAATCTTATATGTTTTGACTTAAATTTAGCAGCAATTAGATGGCTAATTATGTAGACTGTTTTCTCTAGTAAAGAGTTAAATTTTGGGAAAAAAAAGCTTGTCTTCAGCTCTTCATGTTCTCTCAGCTCGCCACACCTGGGATAAACCTTCCCTAATGATTGTGAAATATCTGAAGACGGTCAAGAACCCTACAGATGTACTATTTGAAATAATGTATTTTTAAGGAATATTTTTCTTCTCATGGCAGTCTTTAGCATTGTGGTAGTGACTTTATAAGCTTGATCTAAGCCTCAGGGATAGCAAAAAATAAAAATAAACAAAGCACTTTGCCTCACGGAGTCAATAGAACAACACTGATTACATTGGTCAGTGTTCAGATGGAATCGGCCAGCTTGGCACCATTTCCTGGTGGTGGGTGGACACCGTGCACGTGGGTCTCATACCCTGATTGAAAACATAGAGCATATCTTAAATCAAGTCTAGAATATCTAGTTACGTTCCTCAGAAACCTAAAAGTGGAGAAGTCATAGCCATAGCAGTCACAGGATTTAGGGATGCCAAAACTTAGAGCAAGGGCTGTGCTTTTCGTTGTAGTCGCATAGTGTATTTGTTAAATTGCGTTGAGTATTGTACTTATTTTAGAGACAAACTTAGGCCCAGAGAACTTAAATCTATGTAGTAAGTTCACAGAGTTCATGGCTAACTGGGAGTTAAGTCTGGATTCCCTCTTCTCGTCCTCAGAATGAGGTCAATGGGTGGGTACTTTGTTCTCAGCTGAGAGGTAAATTTGGTTTTGTTTTTTTTTTTGATGAGGAAGATCTGCCCTGAGCTAACATCTATTGCCCATCCTCCTCCTTTTTTCCCCTTTTTCTCCCCAAAGCCCCAGATAGTTGTATGTCATAGTTGCACATCCTTCTAGTTGCTGTATGTGGGATGCCGCCTCACCTCAGCATGGCTGGACAAGCGGTGCAACGGTGCGTGCCCAGGATCCAAACCCGGGCCGCCAGCAGGGGAGCGTGCGAGCTTAACCGCTAAGCCAGGGGACCAGACCCTGGGTTTGTTTTGACAAGGTGCTAGGGTTAAAACGTGTAGTGGCCCTTGCTTCAGCAGCACAGGTGCTAAAACGGAAGTCACTCTGAGAGGCCCTGCTGGGTCCCGTGCATGAGGGCAACAAGCACATTTTAAAGCATCCCCTATTTTTAAAAAAGAAAGCCAACAGGAACACTTTTCTAAAAGTGAAAAATAATATTTGAAATCAATTTTGTTTTATCTCATTTTCCTTGCACTAATTTGTTGACATCTGTTTTTGTTCTCTTTTATTTTATTTATTTATTTTTTCCCCCAAAGCCCCAGTAGATAGTTGTATGTCATAGCTGCACATCCTTCTAGTTGCTGTATGTGGGACGCGGACTCAGCATGGCTGGAGAAGCGGTGCGTAGGTGCGCGCCCGGGATCTGAACCCGGGCCGCCAGCAGCGGAGCGCGCGCACTTAACCGCTAAGCCACGGGGCCGGCCCTGTTTTTGTTCTCTTTTAAGTGAGATCATTTCTTGAAGAGAACTTCGTGTAAGGTGACATTTTAACAGTCTACACTAAGAATCCATCATTTTATTCACTTTAGTCTCTAACTTGGAGATATTTGTGGATTCAGACACGTCAAGCTTTTGGATTTGATGGCATCGGTCCACTTTGGGCAGGGTTTTCCTTTTTGACTAACTTTTCAAACAATTTCTCTGTGTGTTTCGTTTTCAACTTCTCACTCTTGTGTCTGAGGTTCTGGTATCTCAGACTTTTTTGAGCTGCTAGACCCAATCACTGTTGGTTTGAATTCCACACAGCCTTAGGGGGAGAAAGTGCTGATTACGTGTTTCTTTCAGAGAATTACGATTTTTCGTGTTTAGGGGCTATCTCTTGAGCTAATAATTAGTGATATTCCAAGTTACTGCAAAACCATGGGCTGCCAATCAGTGCCTTACACTTGCTTTTCATCACGTTAGCAAATCACGTATTTTTCTGAAGCTCTGATGATACAGCAGGTGGTTGATGATGAAGTAAAGCCAGGTGAGCCTCTAGGCTTGGGTTTGTCTGAGGCTTCAGGACCGAGTGGCTCTAAAAAGAGTGGTTTGGGCAGGGAGGGGGATGGTGCCAGTCTCGGGGGCCGTTGTGACTATTTCAGAAAGCTTAATGGAGACCATAACGTGGCTCACCACAAGATGCACAGGATGTCTAAAAGGTCAGTTTACTTTTGGCAGGAGTTTGGGCAAGCTTGGTTATCTCACACTGCTCAGAAACACGCAGTGGCATATGCCTTTGATGAATGGTGTATGAGAATGCAAATAAGTTATTACCTAATAAACGCGTGACCTTTCAAAACAGCATAGGGTCGTATTAGGTGGGAGTGGTCTTTGGTGATGGCAGGGTTGGGAAAAGGACGTTATTTATTTATTTATTTATTTTA